GGCGCCGGTTTTGTGGAGAAATTGCAATTTTGGCAGAGAAGTGGCGCCAGTTTTCGAGGAAGTTGGTCCGACTTTTACAATTTGGTAGAACGCGCCAGTTTGCGGGAAAAATTACACCATGTTATCTGAGGGCATTTTTGGAAGAAGGAAAAGAGGCGTATAAATAGGATGCCTTTTACAGAATTAGGGATCGAATCCTATTCTGTTGAAGAGAGACAACAGCGGTGCTCAGAGAAGGTTTTGGAGGTCTATTTCATCTTCTTTTTCTTCTTCTTCTTGTAATTTACCAAGTTTATGAATATTGAATATTTAGCCATGATAATGGTTGGCTAGTTCTTTTTATTGTAGTTAGGGTCACAAACCCTATGTGAACCCTTTTTGCGATGGATTGATTATTTTCGCTCATTTATTTTAATATATTTTATTTTTACTCTGTGCGTATTGATATTATTTCTGTTAGACTTGATCAACCTAATAGGAGATAATAATTTGGGAAATAGGGCTCGCAATAGGAATATTGGGGTTTTTGATTCTGAAAGGGGGTAAGGTAACAATTTATGCATGCTCTAGGAATTGACTTGTGTGAGTTGCAGTCGTTTGATTTATCGTGATTAATGCTTAATTTCATGCGGGGTTGCTAAGGGATTAGGATTCCAATTGAATTAAAGGGTTAGATTGCCAAGGGATTGGGATTTAACTAATTATTTTAGATGATAATTTGTCTGAGTTATTAAATTGAATTAACGTTGTCAGTCAATCCAAAGTTTAAAGTGGGGATCATATGGTGCGTGTACCTTAGCTGCAATGCTTTTTATTATTCTCTCAAAAATCCAAACTTTACTATTGTTATTTGAATTGAAAATTATATTTTAAATTTCTGTCTTTATTTTATTATCAATTCACAATTTTTCCAACAACAACCGAGTTTTCCAACTTAAGGGGACTGGTTATTGTAGTACTTGGTTTACAATCCCTGTGGAGACGATACTCTACTCATTCATTATATTACTTGTGCGATCGGTATACTTGCCGGAGAGCATCAAGTTTTTGGCGCCGTTGCCGGGGATTGTTAATTCCAATATTATAAATAACCGTTGATCTTTGAGATTGGATTTTTATCTTATCTTGTTTTGTGTTTTGCAGGTGCTACTAACAAATTTTTCTGAGTTTTATGCGAAGTAGACTTCCCCCTAAAGACTTTGTATTTGATCCTAAAATTTCAAGAACTAAGATGCCTCTTTTGCTGGGTAGACCTTTCTTGGCCACTGCTCGGGCCATGATTGATGTTGAAAATGGAAAGCTTGAGTTAAGGATGAATGATGAGACAATTACCATCAACGTCTTTGACTCTATGAAACAATCTTCTGACAAAGTCGAACTTGATGTTTTAGAGCAAGTGGGGAAAGAAGAAAAATCTTCTAGTCAAGAGACTGATGAAGAACTTGAGGTGCATGAGAGTGTTCCTGTTAAGGAAGGAAAGAATGTAGCGTTTGAAGTTCTTGAGGAAAAGAATGATTCTGAAAAAGAAGATGGTGCCCCAAAAATAGAGTTGAAGGAGCTTCCTGAAACTCTGCAATATACCTTCTTGGGTAATAAGGAGGCAGTGATTGAAGTATTGAAGGAACATGGGACTGCCATAGGGTGGTCTATTTCTGATTTGAAAGATAAAGATCCCTCTTTCCGTACCCACAAAATTATTAATAAGGATGATGACAAAAATGTGAGGAAACCTTAAGGGAGGCATCATCCTACAATGAAGAAGGTAATGAGAAAGGAAGTGGTGAAACTCTTTGATACTGTTTGAAGGATGTGTGCGGATCACCGGAAGTTGAAGGCCACAAAAAGGAGAATATTTGACAAGAGACATCGAGACTCTATCTCTCAGAAAAACCAATACTTTACAGAGTTCCTCACATGGCTTCATGGTTTGAACCAAATCTGGGAATGATGGTCGCATGCACCAAGGCACCCAGTACCACCAGGTCCTCTAATTGCTGAGTCATCCCATACTGCTGAGGGGGATGACATGGAGGATTGATTAAATCTTCTTGCTGACAGAGATTTAGTGTATATTAGTTTATTTTTCTTTTTAGTATTTTGCTGTTTTAAGTTAGTATATTTCCCAAACATTCTGATGCTTTATGGTGCGCATTATAGTTTATCCTATATGCCACAGTTTGTTCCATGGTGCAGGTTTATCATCCATCTTTTGGTTTGATTATTGCTGGGGACAACAATTCTTTAAATCTGGGAATGGTAGGCTTTAGGAAAGAATTTTGGACCTGCAGTTCTTTATCAGTGGAGATATTCTAAACTCTTTTAATGTTTTTTTAGTTATTTTAGTTAGTTATTTTGTGTGCTCTTTAATTTTAAAATATATATATATATATATATATAGTGATCTGTTTTTCAAGCAATTCTCAGGTTTAAATGTGCTTGACTGAATTTTTGGAAGTATGTTGTATGACATTTTGGCATGACATTGCATAGATATAATTGGATTGCATGAGTGCTCATTTGTTTGAACTGATGTTGTGAAATTCTGATAATGTCTGAGGTCAATTTTCTTGAGTCTATATTGATACCATAGCTGTGAGGTTTGAGCTTAAACACTGAATTTTCTTGTTGAGAGACCTCACTATTGTAACACTCTAGAACTTGATCTGTTTCTCTGTTATGCATGCATTGGTTGATATGATAAAGACATTTTGTTCTTGTTAGCTATTGGCCAAAATAACCCACCTGTATGAATTTTTCCATTGCTAGCCCCTTGAGCCTGAAAAAAAAAATTGTTGATGAATGACCTGTGGCCTGATTGATGGCTTAGCCTATATCCATATGACTTACCTTGATTGAGATTGAATTACTAATGTGTTGAAAATAAAACAAAGAAATTGAGGTAAACTCCACAAAGGTCAAGTAATTGGGGGATGTAAATTTCACCTGTGCCCTTAAAACAAAGGGAGAAAAAGAAAAAGAAAGCAAGAAAAAGAAAAGAATGAATGTGCATAAAAGGTGGGTGGAAGGAATTAATTCCCGAAATTCTGTGGGAATGTTAGTGGAGCAAAACCATTGAGTTGAATGTGTTAAAGTGAAATAATATCAGTTTTTCAATCTCATTGTTGTTTGAGCTACTGTCCATATATTCGTACCCGTTAACCCGGCCAAGTTACAACCTGTGAAGTCCTTTTGATCAATTGATGCATGTGTTTGATTCTTCATTTTTAAGAATTTTTGAGAATATAATCAAGCCTATGGTAGTGTTATAGCTGTGATTGATTGAGTGCTCATGATACCCTTAAACACTGAGCGTTGAGTGGACATTATTTATCTGTGTGAGGGGCAATCAATGTAGACTTGTATCTTTAAGAAGCTGATGACATTGTTGGGAGTTTATGATATTGGGTCAGGCATGCATGGCATATTGTGTCTGAGAGTGTCTATGGATTGTTATGTTGGATTAATTGAATATGTCCTGGATTGAGTCTTGTACATTGCTGGGGACAACAACGTTTAAATCTGGGAATGATTTGATGTGCCTCTGGCAGATGTAGTTTTCTAAGTTAAAATCGATAAGAACTGAGTCATAAAAGAGCAATCTAAATACATATTTGGTTATTATATTGATTCTTTCTATGTCAATGATATTTCTCACCTATTGGTTGTGTTTATACAGGTAAAAGAAGTGAAAATTACAAAATTATAAAAAGCCTGTTGGCGCGACTCCACACGGGTGTAGCACAGTACAAATTCCAGCAATATGGCGCGGAATGGCGGCACACTGGCGCACACCAACGCCAATTTACGAATTTCGCAACGGAGCTTTGCAAGTGGCGCCACAATGGCGCCAACTGGCGCCGGTTTTGTGGAGAAATTGCAATTTTGGCAGAGAAGTGGCGCCACAATGGCGCCAATTGGCGCCGGTTTTGTTGAAATTTTGGCACAGTGGCATGGCGCCTAGTGGCGCCAAAATGCCATTTCTGAGGAAGTTGGTCTGACTTTTACAATTTGGCAGAAGCGTGGCGCGAGTTGGCGCCACACCGGCGCCAACCCGCACTGATTTGCGGGAAAAATTACACCATGTTGTCCGAGGGCATATTTGGAAGAAGGAAAAGAGGCGTATAAATAGAATGCCTTTTACAGAATTAGGGATCGAATCCTATTTTGTTGAAGAGAGACGACGGTGGTGCTCAGAGAGGGTTTTGGAGGTCTATTTCATCTTCTTTTTCTTCTTCTTGTAATTTACCAAGTTTATGAATATTGAATATTTAGCCATGATAATGGTTGACTAGTTCTTTTTATTGTTGTTAGGGTCACAAATTCTATGTGCACTTTTTGCGTTGGATTGATTATTTTCGCTCATTTATTTTAATATATTTTATTTTTACTCTGTGCGTATTGATATTATTTCTATTAGACTTGATCAACCTAATAGGAGATAATAATTTGGGAATTAGGGCTCGCAATAGGAATATTGGGGTTTTTGATTCTGAAAGGGGGTAAGGTAACAATTTATGCATGCTCTAGGAATAGACTTGTGTGAGTTGCAGTCGTTTGATTTATCGTGATTAATGCTTAATTTCACGGGGTTGCTAAGGGATTAGGATTCCAATTGAATTAAAGGGTTAGATTGCCAAGGGATTGAGATTTAACTAATTATTTTAGATGATAATTTGTCTGAGTTATTAAATTGAATGAACGTTGTCAATCAATCCAAAGTTTAAAGTGGGGATCATATGGTGCGTGTACCTTAGCTGCAATGCTTTTTATTATTCTCTCAAAAATCCAGACTTTACTATTGTTATTTGAATTGAAAATTATATTTTAAATTTCTGTCTTTATTTTATTATCAATTCACAATTTTTCCAACAACAACCGAGTTTTCCAACTTAAGGGGACTGGTTATTGTAGTACTTGGTTTACAATCCCTGTGGAGACGATACTTTACTCATTCATTATATTACTTGTGCGATCGGTATACTTGCCGGAGAGCATCACTATTAATATACCTTCAAGTAAACTTCCCATACTTCATCACTAGCAGTTAATGTCTTTGTAACTGTGTCCCACCCAAAGCCAGAGTTGTTACGCATAAGCGTCGACATTTTGTTATATTTGTTCTTCAACCACTTTAGCCGACTCAAGTAATGATTATAAGTTTTAGGAAACCTAGTCTTTGCATTAAGATGATGAAGTATCACTCTTTCTACATTTTGTTTGCTAAGTGATCCATTAGCATCACACAATCCATTGTTGATAGCATCCACCAAGAGGTGCAACAACACATTAGTATCATCCATGGTCCAAGATTCATAGTTCTCTTTCTCTTTGCCCTTTCCTTTCTTATTTCCTTGTTGTGAATCCCCCATTTGCTATAATAAGATTAAAACTAGACAATAATTAAAATAATTTTAATGAGATTAATATCAACACAATTTAAAAACATGTTTTTTCAAACGAGTAAACCAAACTAACGTTAAATAGTTCAATCAACAAACAATAAAAAAAAGGATTGAATAAACTAATTTCTATCAACATGCTGCTTGTCTTTATTAGATATTCGGGTGTTGTATGTTCTTTCTTATTGCTCCTAACAACATTTTTAATATTATTTTTCTAGCTTATAGGTAAATACTATTTCCTTCTACACTTCTCCACAAATGTTGTACTGATTTTATAAATATATTAGTTGAAGATTGGAGTAAATTAATTGAGACTAACAAACTATGAATTATTCATGCTTATTTTGTTTTATTTCTTTCTATATTACAAGAATTGAACCTCATGTATTCCCTAACCAGCAATCAAAGAAACGGCGCATAAAAGATAAATTGAAGAATCCTGGTTAAAATAATGATGATCATAGATCAAATAAACATATAAAAGTGGGCAAGTCATTATCTGAAAAAACAGGGATCACATCAACAAACAATAAAAAAAGATTGAATAAGCTAATTCCTATCAACATGCTTGTCTTTATTAGAGAGTCAAAAAAAGATATATTAAAAAAATTCCTGAACCACATCATTAAAAAAAAGAATACCAAAAGAATATATCTAACCGTAATTTATAAAAATCCTGAAGCACACTATACAAATACAATATTATAAATTTAACACACCACTAAAAAAACTAAAAAAAAATCCTGAAGCACATCATACGATATATATTTTTTTAGTGCTTCATTATCAGGTTATATATCTCTCACTCTCGTATTTAATAATGAATCACATTTATAATCTGTATTTTTTTTAGTGCGATAAATATATACAGATGATAATGAAGCACATCGTTTTTGTGTTTCGCCCTAAACTAGACAATAATCATATAAATACAGACAATAAATGTATTAAAAAAATAATGAAGCACATTGACGTGCGTTGTCAAACCCACATAAATTACTGAGCTTTAGGTTTGTAGTGATAGGGCAACTCGGATCGTCTCCCAAAGAACTTGCTTGAAATCAGAAACATTATGTAAAATAAAATATAAAAAGGAAAAGGGGATTATGTTGATTTGAAATTTAAATTAAAACAGAATTGAAAAAGGAATTTAAAAATCAGAATTAAAAGCAATCAACCTAAAGAAGTAGGATTCATTAATTTATTTCGTCATTGGATAAAAATATAGTTATCAATTCGTGATTAACCCCAATTAAATTCGGAATCCTCAAAATATAATTGGAAACCCTCTCTAGACTATCGTCTAGCGTTTGGTTGAATACAATATTTAAACTATGCAATCGCAGTAATTTAAACATTTTCATTGGGTTGGTTAATCTAACTATTAGATCTAATGATCAATTTTTCTTTATAGAATGCAATCGTATTATTCAGTTTGAATACCTACAATCGCATGATATTCAATCTGAATTGGAAAAAATGAAATTGATTTAAAAGATTAAAACATATCCTCTGAAATAAACTAACGAACCTTTAATCCTTAGATTGATTAAAGGTGTTTAGCCTAGCATCGCAAGGTTAAACATCATTTAAAATAAAAAGAGATGAATATGAAAAGAAAAGAGTGCAGAATTTCGATAAAGAAAACTCAAAACAATTGTTCAATTCACCAAATCTGACTACTGCAAAGTTTCCCTTAAATAACCCACATTCAGAACGGGTTAGGGTTCCAACACTTCGGCCTATACATAAAATAAAAATTTAATAAAATAAAATAAAACATTAAAACATGGCATTGGGCCCTAAACACATTGGGTTCTAATCTAATTTACAAGTCTAAACGTCAAAATAAAATTCCAACAAAAACATGTCATCTTGGGCTCAGGTTTCGACCATCTTCACGTCTGAATTGGGCTTCAGTGGCTGAAATAGAGATTGTAGCCCTTTCTGTTTTCTGCAAAATGAAACAAGAACGGAGTCAATCGGACATATTTAGAGTGAGATATGGTCAAAATACGAAAGTAGTATAAATCTGGAAAATTCTGACAAAAATCAATTAAACCTAATTAAAATCTAGAATTCTGATTTGACCCAAAAGACCTTTATTTAACTCAAATAAATCCTAAAAATACTAACCAAGAGTAATAAATAAGTGTAACAAAATATCTGTTATCACACATCGTTAATTATGAAGGAGGAATACAAAAACCTGATAAATACATATGACAAACACAACCATTAATTAGGAAGGAGGAATATCAAAACCTGAAAAAATATGAGAGTCAAAAAAGTACATTGGTTTTGACAAAAAGGCTAGAGTAAATTATGAGATGCTACAATAGAAGAATCTCAAGAAATCCTAGGGGTTAGGGTGAGATTGTGAGAGAAGCATTCTATTTATATTTTTCACTAAAAAGTCTTACGAAATCCCCACCAATAGAAAATCCATTAAAATCGTCGGATTTTTGAATACCACGAGATTGTGTTTCCATTGTTTAAAATCCTGATTGAATACCAACGGATTTGGACGGATTCTAAAATAATCTTTTAAAATCCTAATCGAATACCACGTGACGTTTTTTCAATCCATTAAAATCCTAATTGAATACCAACGGATTTTTTTATCCAAAAATAATCCATTAAAATCCTTTGAAATCTCAATCCAATACACCCTCCTAATTATCAAATGAAAAGACCCATTAACACATATCTTAGTTATACACGAAATAATTTCATTTTTTTAATAATTAAGCCCAATAGTGAGATATTAATAGGGTTGACAATTATCCATGTAAAAAGTAGTGGGATATTAATGAAATCTTTCCCACCTTCAAGTTTAAATTTTGAATTTGAATACTTCCCATAGTAAAACACTAACAAATTATATTAAATTTTGCCGCCCACATGTAGAAAGTAGTGGGACATTAATACAACTAACAAATTTTAATAAATTTTGCCGCTTACATGAAGTTGAATTTCCAATAATTTCCAATTAAAAACTTTACAATTTCAATATAGAAATGATAGTAGGACATTAATTTGATATCTGCCACCAACAATTTAATTTTGAATTTATATTTATTTATTTTGCAAATGGCATGCAAGTGTGAACACAAAGCTAAAATTGAAGGAAAGCTTGACACGTCAGCTTTTTAGGTTCTCCTTTAAGATATTAATAGATTCTAGGGAGTACATAGTTATAATATTAAAGTTACTATTTTCTCTCTATTATGACTATCTACTCCCTCCCTTGAGTACATAGTTAAAAATAGGTAGCAAGATAAAAATCTTATTCCTACAACATAATACTTATGTTTTCTTATATAATTAGGTATAAACCGGGTAAAGTTTATGCCTAAATAGTTAATGTTCATATTGTTGTAAAATATGAATTTTACATGTAGATGACTATTGAAATTTCAAGAGGTTTATGTAACCTTTTGCTTGCCCGTGACTTTTGGTTTGAATTGTAACCATCATGCATAATGTTGCATTGATGTGTAATTAGTCTTCCTGTTCATTCTTGGAGTCTTATATAAGAACATGTATCATGTATTACGTGAAAAATGAATAATAACAATTGCTGATATTTCCCTACTTTCTTAAGAGTTCATGCTTTCATCTTATTTATAATTTCTCCCTTCATTTCATATTTTCTCTATTTTTCCCTTAGTTTTATAATATGTTATCAGCATGATTAAGTCTCTAGTGGTGTAGCAGCACAATGACGATCAAGTCTCTAATGGTGTAGATCAAGTATCTAATGATATATCAATATCCACTATGTTTTGTTTCAAGCACGAGTCTCAATCAATCAAGTGATGAGTTTGATCAAGTTGGATGATTTATAAAAGAGGAACACATTAGTATCCTTTCTTCTTGGATTGATATATTTATTGGCTTAATTTATTCTTTTCTTTTTTTTTGCTTTCTTGATGTTATTTCCAATATATATGTAATTTTGTATTTCTTTCATAGAGATTTGACTATCAAGTATTCTTCACCGACATATTTTATTTTATATTGAATTTGCGATTTTGGTAAATTCCTGAAGAAATGACATTATTCCTGAAGGATTGCACAAAAATCAATGGATATCATTGGTCATTATTTATGATCGTGTTACAGTTCCTGAAAAACTAGAGTTAGACCATGATTGAAAAGATCCAGATGATCTTTCGAATGATATGAAAGAAGGAAATTCAGAGAAAACACTCAATCTTTTATACCTATTAAATATGCCCCAACAATAGCAATGTTGAGAAAATGGTTTAAGAAATATTCTGAATCAAGTTTGTGTATTTTTATGATTCAATACGAGAATAAATTATTCATGAAAAATCATAAAGTGAATGTTCATTGAAGTGAATGTTCTAAATGAACATATTCCAATTATGAACCAGTAGGTTTAATTATATTCCTTGAAGAGAATATTTTAAATTATAATTTTAGACATGACAAATATTATGGCTATAGCCAATAGCCATATATATGACTAAAACAAGTGTTTTGGCACTACTAATTTGATTGAAAGCTCCATTAGAGTTTATATTTTATTGCATGGAGGAACAAAAATATTGATAATTAAGCCTTCTACTCTGATATATCTATAAGAAATCTACTAAGCTCTAAAGATATATTCAAAAATGGTTATCACATTGAAACCATAGGTAAAAGTAATATTGAATTTTTTATATTACATCTTTTGGACCTTGCCACAAAACTATATTGGAAGAAGTGCAAGTCTTCTTCTCTCATGGATTGTATTCTACAAATATGAATTTCATGGAAATTAATATTGTTACTAACCAGAAGTTAGTTGATCCAAAAATCTTTACCCCTTGGAATTAAAGATTAGGCCATCCAATGAAAAACATATTGGGTAAAGTAAGAATTTAGATACGTTATATCATTATAGTACTAAGAAAATTACATTATACATGTATCTTTTACATGATAAAGTATTG